TGAGGCTGAGTCGACCTAGGGGAGGCCCAGGACCGGTTCAGATAATCGTCACCGGTGTTGGCGATGAGCGGGAATCGAACTTGGGTCGCCGGGTTCATAGCGCAGCGTAGCGCTAACCACTACACTTACCGCTCCCCACACGCACACAGACACACACAGACACACACCTCACCTCACCCACACACTCACCCACACCTCACCCACACACTCACCTCACACACCTCACCCACACACCTCACCTACCTCAACCACACACTCACCTCACCTCACACTCGTACACACCTCACCTCTCACACACACTCACCTCACCACACACTTGCACACACCTCACCCACACACTCACCTCACATCACCCACACAGCCACCTCACCAACACACCTCACACTCACACACGCTCTCACACACACACACACTTACACACTCTCTCTCACACACACACACTTACACACTCTCTCTCACACACACACTTACACACTCTCTCTTACACACACACTTACACACTCTCTCTTACACACACACACTCTCTCTCACACACTCTCACACTCTCACACACTCTCACACACTCACACACACTCACACACTCTCTCACACACTCTCTCACACACTCTCTCACACTCTCTCTCACACACACACTCTCACTCTCACACACTCTCACACACACACTCTCTCACACACACACACTCTCTCACACTCTCACACTCACACTCTCTCTCACACTCTCACACACACACTCTCTCACACACTCACACACACTCACACACTCTCTCACACACACACACACACTTACACACTCTCTCTCACACACACACACTTACACACTCTCTCTCACACACACACACTTACACACTCTCTCTTACACACACACACTCTCTCTCACACACTCTCACACTCTCACACACTCTCTCACACACTCTCACACACTCACACACTCTCACACACACTCTCTCACACACTCTCACACACACTCTCACACACACTCTCTCACACTCTCTCTCACACACACACTCACACTCTCACTCTCACACACTCTCACACACACACTCTCTCACACTCTCACACTCACACTCTCTCTCACACTCTCACACACACACTCTCTCACACTCTCACACTCACACTCTCTCTCACACTCTCACACTCACACTCTCTCTCACACTCTCACACACACACTCTCTCACACACTCACACACACTCACACACTCTCTCACACACACACTCTCTCACACTCTCTCACACTCACACACTCTCTCACAAACACACTCTCTCACACTCTCTCACACACACACTCACTCTCACACTCTCTCTCACACTGTCACTCTCTCACACTCTCACACACACTCTCTCTCACACTCTCACACACACTCTCTCTCACACTCTCTCTCACTCTCACACACACTCTCACACTCTCTCTCACATACTCTCTCACACTCTCTCTCACAATGACCATCAGAAACGTAGGCAGCAGTCAATAAATAAAGCACAGCAACACAAACACGCCGATTACATGATATGCACAGGAGTGTGTACGTGTGTGTGCGTGCGTGTACGTGTGTGTGCGTGCGTGTACGTGTGTGTGTACGTGTGTGTACGTGTGTGTGCGTGCGTGTACGTGTGTGTGTGTGCGTGTGTGTGTACGTGTGTGTGTACGTGTGTGTGTACGTATGCGTGTACGTGCGTGTGTGTACGTATGTGTACGTGCGTGTGCGTATGTGTACGTGCGTGTGTACGTGTGTGTGTACGTGTGCGTACGTGTATGCGTGCGTGTGCGTGTACGTGTGTGTACACGTGTGCGTGTGTGTACACGTGTGTGTACGTATGCGTGTGTGTACGTACGTATGTGTACGTGCGTGTGCGTGTGTACGTGTGTGTATACGTGTGTGTACGTACGTGTGTGTGGACGTGTACGTGTGTGCGTACGTGTGTATACGTGCGTGTGTATACGTGCGTGTATACGTGCGTGTGTGTACATGCGTGTACGTGTGTACGTGCGTGTACGTGTATACGTGCGTGTACATGTGTACGTGCGTGTACGTGTGTGTGCATGTACGTGTGTGTGTGTATGTGTGTGCGTGTACGTGTGTGTACATGTGTGTACGTGTATGCGTGTACGTGTGTGCGTGTACGTGCGTGTGTACGTGTGTGTACGTGTGTGTGTGTGCGTGTACGTGCGTGTGCGTGTGTACGTGTGTGTGTACGTGTGTGTGCGTGTACATGTGTATACGTGTGTGTGGGTGTACGTGTGTATGCGTGTGTACGTGTGCGTGTGTACGTGTGCGTGTGTACGTGTGCGTGTGTACGTGTGCGTGTGTACGTGTGTGTGTGTGCGTGTGTACGTGTGTGTACGTGTATACGTGTGTGTGCGCGTGTGTACGCGTGTGTGTGTGTGTATACGTGTGTGTGTACGTGCGTGTGTGTACGTGTGTGTGTGTGTGCACGTGTGTGTGTACGTGTGTGTGTGTACGTGTGTGTGTGTGTGTGTGCGCGTGTGTACGCGTGTGTGTGTACGTGTGTGTGTGTACGCGTGTGTGTACGTGTGTGTACGCGTGTGTGTGTGTACGTGTGTGTGTGTACGTATGTGTGTACGTGTGTGTGTACGTGTGTGTGTACATGCGTGTACGTGTGTGTGTATATGTGTGTGTGCGTGTATGTGTACGTGTGTGTACGTGTGTGTGTGTACGCGTGTGTGTGTACGCGTGTGTGTGTACACGTGTGTGTGTGTACGTGTGTGTGTGTACATGTGTGTACGTGTGTGTGTACGCGTGTGTACGTGTGTGTGTGTACGTGTGTGTACGCGTGTGTGTACGCGTGTGTATACGTGTGTGTACGCGTGTGTGTGTGTACGTGTGTGTGTACGTGTGTGTGTGTACGTGTGTGTGTACGTATGTGTGTGTGTACGTGTGTACGTGTGTGTGTACGTGTGTGTGTGTACGTGTGTGTGTACGTGTGTGTGTACGTGTGTGTGTGTACGTGTACGTGTGTATACGTGTACGTGTGTATACGTGTACGTGCGTGTGTGTACGTGCGTGTGTGTACGTGCGTGTGTGTACGTGTGTGTGTACGCGTGTGTGTGTGTACGCGTGTGTGTGTGTACGTGTGTGTGTACGTGTGTGTGTACGTGTGTGTACATGCGTGTACGTGTGTACGCGTGTGTGTGTACGCGTGTGTGTGTGTACGTGTGTGTACGCGTGTGTGTGTGTACGTGTGTGTACGTGTGTGTGTATACGCGTGTGTGTGTGTGTACGTGTGTGTGTGTACGTGTGTGTGTGTACGTGTGTGTGTGTACGTGTGTGTGTACGTGTGTGTGTACGCGTGTGTGTGTACGCGTGTGTGTGTACGCGTGTGTGTGTACGCGTGTGTGTGTGTACGTGTGTGTACGCGTGTGTGTACGTGTGTGTGTACGTGTGTGTGTGTGTACGCGTGTGTGTACGTGTGTGTGTGTGTACGTGTGTGTGTGTACGCGTGTGTGTGTGTACGCGTGTGTGTGTGTGTACGTGTGTGTACGTGTGTGTGTGTATATGTGGGTGTATGTGTGTGTGTACGTGTGTGTACGTCTGTGTGTACGTGTGTGTGTGTACGTGTGTGTGTACGTGTGTGTGTGTACATGTGTGTGTACGTGTGTGTATGTGTGTGTGTGTACGTGTGTACGCGTGTGTGTATATGTGTGTGTGTGTACGTGTGTGTGTGTGTACCTGTGTGTGTGTGTACGTGTGTGTGTGTGTACGTGTGTGTGTGTACGTGTGTGTACGTGTGTGTGTGTACGCGTGTGTGTACGTGTGTGCGTGTACGTGTGTGTACGTGTACGTGTGTACATGCGTGTACGTGTGTACGCGTGTGTGTGTACGCGTGTGTGTGTGTACGTGTGTGTGTACGTGTGTGTGTGTACGTGTGTGTACATGCGTGTGTGTGTACGTGTGTGTGTACGTGTGTGTGTGTGTACGTGTACGTGTGTATACGTGTGTACGTGTGTGTGTACGTGTGTGTGTGTACGTGTGTGTGTACGTGTGTGTGTACGTGTGTGTGTGTACGTGTACGTGTGTATACGTGCGTACGTGTGTGTGTGTACGTGCGTGTGTGTACGTGCGTGTGTGTACGTGTGTGTACGTGTGTGTGTGTACGTGTGTGTGTGTACGTGTGTGTGTGTACGTGTGTGTGTACGTGTGTGTGTACGCGTGTGTGTGTGTACGTGTGTGTGTGTACATGTGTGTACGTGTGTGCATGTGTGTACGTGTGTGTACGTGCGTGTGTGTACATGTGTGTGTGTACGTGTGTGTGTGTACGTGTGTGTACGTGTGTGTGTGTACGTGTGTGTACGTGTGTGTATACGTGTGTGTGTGTACGTGTGTGTGTACGTGTGTGTGCGTGTATGTGTACGTGTGTGTACGTGTGTGTGTGTACGCGTGTGTGTGTACGCGTGTGTGTGTGTACGTGTGTGTGTGTACGCGTGTGTGTGTACGTGTGTACGTGTGTGTACGCGTGTGTGTGTACGTGTGTGTACGTGTGTGTGTACGTGTGTGTGTGTACGCGTGTGTACGCGTGTGTGTGTACGTGTGTACGTGTGTGTGTGTACGTGTGTGTACGTGTGTGTGTGTACGTGTGTGTACGTGTGTGTACGTGTGTGCGTGTATATGTGTGTGTACGTGTACGTGTGTGTACGTGTGTGTGTACGTGTGTGTACGTGTGTGTGTGTGTATATGTGTGTGTATGTGTGTGTGTACGTGTGTGTACGTCTGTGTGTACGTGTGTGTGTGTACGTGTGTGTGTACGTGTGTGTGTACATGTGTGTGTGTGTACGTGTGTGTGTACGTGTGTGTGTGTACGTGTACGTGTGTGTGTGTACGTGTGTGTGTGTGTACGTGTGTGTACGTATGTGTGTGTGTGTACGCGTGTGTGTGTATGTGTGTGTGTGTACATGTGTGTACGTGTGTGTGTGTACGTGTGTGTGTGTGTACGCGTGTGTGTGTGTGTGTGTACGCGTGTGTGTACGTGTGTGTACGTGTGTGTGTGTACGTGTGTGTGTGTGTGTGTACGTGTGTGCGTGTACGTGTGTGTGTGTGTACGCGCGCCTCCCCCCGCTGTAACAACGGCTGCGTGGGAAGGTCGACTGCAACTCTGTCGAGGGGGCACCACAGCCCCGGAGACACGGACGGCAGCGCAGGGAGGCCGTGCGACGGCCAGCAACCGTCAGCACTCACTGCCACGGGCCAGCTCCCCGCGGGGCGACGGGGAGGAGGAGGAGGAGGAGGAGGAGGCGAGGGCTCAGCGTCTACCTGCCGTGGTACGTGGAGTCTGAGCCGTCCGAGTCGGCCGTGCCCTCCGACCTGGCACGGAGAGAGGCACGCCAGGGGGAAAGACTCCTTCAAGGGCACTCAAATACCTCAACTCAACTCACCTCGCCTCGCCTCACTCGCTCGCTCGCTCGCTCACCCACCCGCTCACCCACCTCGGCTCACCTCGCCTCACCACACTCGCTCACTCGCTCACTCACTCGCTCGCTCACCCACCCGCTCACTTATCCACCCGCTGACCCACCCGCTCACCCACTCGCTCACCCACTCGCTCACCCACTCGCTCACCCACTCGCTCACCCACCCACTCACTCACACACTCATCCACCCACTCACTCACCCGCTCACCCACTCGCTCACCCACTCGCTCACTCGCTCACCCACCCGCCCACTCGCTCACCCACCCGCCCACTCACTCACCCACTCACCCATTCACTCACCCACTCACCCATTCACTCACCCACTCACCCATTCACTCACCCACTCACCCATTCACTCACCCACTCACCCATTCACTCACCCACTCACCCATTCACTCACCCACTCACCCACTCACCCACCCACCCATCACTCACTCACCCACCTCACCTCACCTCACTCACCCACCACCCACTCAACCACCCACTCACTCACCCACCCACCCGCTCACTCACTCACTCACCCACTCGCCCACCCACTCACCCACTCACCCACTCACTCACTCACCCACTCACTCACTCACCCACTCACTCACCCACTCACTCACTCACCCACTCACCCACCACCCACCCACTCACCCACCACCCACCCACTCACCCACCACCCACCCACTCACCCACCACCCACCCACTCACCCACCACCCACCCACTCACCCACCACCCACTCACCCACCACCCACCCACTCACCCACCACCCACCCACTCACCCACCACCCACCCACTCACCCACCACCCACCCACTCACCCACCACCCACCCACTCACCCACCACCCACCCACTCACCCACCACCCACCCACCCACCCACTCACCCACCCACTCACCCACCCACTCACCCACTCACCCACCACACACCCACTCACCCACCACACACCCACTCACCCACCACACACCCACTCACCCACCACACACCCACTCACTCACCCACCACCCACCCACTCACCCACCACCCACCCACTCACCCACTCAACCATCCATCCACCCACCCACCCACTCAACCATCCACCCACCCACTCACCCACCCACCCACTCACCCACCCACCCACTCACCCACCCACCCACCCACTCACCCACCCACCCACCCACCCACTCACCCACCCACCCACCCACTCACCCACCCACCCACTCACCCACTCACCCAACCATCCACCCACCCACTCAACCATCCACCCACTCACTCACTCACCCACCCACCCACTAACTCACCCACCCACCCACTCATTCACCCACCCACCCACCCACTCACCCACCCACCCACTCACCCACTCACTCACCCACCCACCTCTCCGTGTCTCTCTGCATCTTCTTGGCTGCCATCTTGGATTTCCGGATGCGGGAGTCCAACCGGAAGAGGTAATCCTGTGAGGTCAGGTCCACGGGGTCACCTAGGGGTCAGGTGAGGTCACGTGAGGTCAGGTCCACGGGGTCACCTAGGGGTCAGGTGAGGTCACGCGAGGTCAGCTGAGGTCAGGTCCACGGGGTCACCTAGGGGTCAGGTGAGGCCACGTGAGGTCAGGTCCACGGGGTCACCTAGAGGTCAGGTCCACGAAGTCACCTAGGGGTCAGGTGAGGTCACGTGAGGTCAGGTGAGGTCAGGTCCACGGGGTCACCTGGGGGTCATGTGAGGTCAGGTCCACGGGCTACCATATGGGGTCAGGTGTCAGGTGAGGTCAGGTGAGGTCAGGTCGGCCAGGTCAGCCTCCTCCTCCCTGTCCACCACCACTACCACTACCACCACCACTACCACCACCACTACCACCACCACTACCACCACTACCACCACCACGACCACCACCACCACCACCAATACCACTACCACCACCACTACCACCACCACCACTACCACCACTACCACCACCACTACCACCACCACCACTACCACCACTACCACCACCACTACCACCACCACCACGACCAATATTTCGGTCCATGAACCTTCTCCAGAGCAGATCACTGTGGCTAGGAGATGTTGACTACCTCGCCTGGTCTACAGGAGGTCGTGGGTTCTATCACGACCCTGACGATGCTTGCTGCTGCTGCTGTATATTTGTGTGTGGCTAGGAGCTGTTGACTACCTCGCCTGGTCTACAGGAGGTCGTGGGTTCTATCACGACCCTGACAATGCCTGCTGCTGCTGTATATTTGTGTGTGGCTAGGAGATGTTGACTACCTCGCCTGGTCTACAGGAGGTCGTGGGTTCTATCCCAGACCCTGACGATGCCTGCTGCTGCTGCTGTATATTTGTGTGTGTCTAGGAGATGTTGACTACCTCGCCGGGTCTACAGGAGGTCGTGGGTTCTATCCCAGACCCTGACGATGCCTGCTGCTGCTGTATATTTGTGTGTGGCTAGGAGATGTTGACTACCTCGCCTGGTCTACAGGAGGTCGTGGGTTCTATCCTGGCCCCTGACGATTCCTGCTGCTGCTGTATATTTGTGTGTGGCTAGGAGATGTTGACTACCTCGCCTGGTCTACAGGAGGTCGTGGGTTCTATCCCACACCTGACGATGCCTGCTGCTGCTGTATATTTGTGTGTGGCTAGGAGATGTTGACTACCTCGCCTGGTCTACGGGAGGTCGTGGGTTCTATCCTGGCCCCTGACGATTCCTGCTGCTGCTGTATATTTGTGTGTGGCTAGGAGCTGTTGACTACCTCGCCTGGTCTACAGGAGGTCGTGGGTTCTATCCCACACCTGGCAATGCCTGCTGCTGCTGTATATTTGTGTGTGGCTAGGAGATGTTGACTACCTCGCCTGGTATGCAGGAGGTCGTGGGTTCTATCCTGGCCCCTGACGATTCCTGCTGCTGCTGTATATTTGTGTGTGGCTAGGAGATGTTGACTACCTCGCCTGGTCTACAGGAGGTCGTGGGTTCTATCCTGACCGTGACAATGCCTGCTGCTGCTGTATATTTGTGTGTGGCTAGGAGATGTTGACTACCTCGCCTGGTCTACAGGAGGTCGTGGGTTCTATCCTGACCGTGACAATGCCTGCTGCTGCTGTATATTTGTGTGTGGCTAGGAGATGTTGACTACCTCGCCTGGTCTACGGGAGGTCGTGGGTTCTATCCTGGCCCCTGACGATTCCTGCTGCTGCTGTATATTTGTGTGTGGCTAGGAGATGTTGACTACCTCGCCTGGTGTACAGGAGGTCGTGGGTTCGATCCCGGGTCATCCGGTTTGGCTGCCGATATAAATGTCCACGTCATGATGATGAGTCTACCTCCTCAGGCTATCATTGCTTCACGGTGGCCGTGTGAATGGGTGGGGTTCACGATGGCCGGCGATTCTCAGAGATGACAAGCCGATGGTCATGGGGCAGATCAGCTCCATGGTAAGTGTACACACAGACACACACAAAGTCACACACACAGAGACACACACACACAGACACACACACACAGACACACACAAAGTCTCACACACACACACACGCACACAGACACAAACAAAGATCCCCCGTATAGCCTTAACAGACTGTAGGGGCAAGTGCTGTTAGCGAGCACCTATGAAAGCCGGTACGGTACACGAGGGGGTGAGTGGCCAGCACCACGCCCGACCGCCTTAGTCTCCCCGGTGGCGATGTTTACACACCGCACCAGGTACTCATTTAAGGCTGAGTCGACCTAGGGGAGGCCCGGGACCGGTTCAGATAATCGTCACCGGTGTTGGCCGTGAGCGAGAATCGAACCCGGGTCGCCAGGTTCATAGCGCAGCGTAGCGCTAACCGCTACACTACCGCTCCCCACACGCACACAGACACGGACACACGCACGCACGCATACACACACACACACGCACGCAGACACACACGCAGAGACACAGACACACACCGAGACACACAGACACAGACAAAGATCCCCCGTATAGCCTTAAAAGAATATAGGGGCAAGTGCTGTTAGCGAGCACCAGGTTCTCATTTGTAGGTCGACCTAGGGGAGGCACAGGACCGGTTCAGATAATCGTCACCGGTGTTGGCCGTGAGCGGGAATCGAACTCGGGTCGCCAGGTTCGTAGCGCAGCATAGCGCTAACCGCTGCTACACTATCGCTCCCCACACAGACACACACAACAACAACACACACACAGGCACACACACACACAGGAACACAAACAGGCACACACACACAGGCACACACACACAGGCACACACAACAACAACAACCGCCATTCGCCACTAAGTGGCGGTGACGTCACCACGATGCTTGTGCCAGGCTATGTGCACCTTGAGGCCACGTGAAGTGTCGAACGCCCGCTGGCAGGAGGTCACGGGGCAGACCCAAGTGCCACGGGTCGACTAAGATGACTGAGATGACTGGCTGATGCACCACCTGTGCCCCCTACTGTGCCAACCCGCTGTGCTTTAGCCACCCGGCGCTCCGCTCGTTGTTCTGAGCGTCGCTCCTCCGCCCTCCGTTGTTGTTGGAGGGCGACTGCCTCCAACTGCCCAGTAGCATCCTTCACGAGCCTCCTCCACAGAGGCCGATCTTGACACCGCTGGTACCAGTCATCGGCAAGTCCACTCAGCTCCACGTCCTCCTGTACCACGTCACTCCATCTCTTCTCTAGCCCGTGCCGCGCCCGTTTAGCCCCCTCGATCCGGCCGAACAAAAGCTGTTCCGGCATGCGGTGGCTGGGCATGCGGGCTACATGACCCAGCCAACGCAGCCTTGCCTGCCGGAGGAGCTCACCGATGGGACTTTGCCCAGATCTTTCAAGCATTTGTGAGCTCCTCACACAATCCAGCCTGGTTAAACCCACGATGGATCGTAGGCAAGCTAGCCTAAATGTTTCTAACATGCGAAGATGTTCCATTAGGGGGGTCCACGTTTCGCAAGCATAGTGAAGGGAGGGAATGACCGTGGCAGAGAAGACCTGAAGCTTAGTGCGGAGCGACAGACCAGGTAGCTTCCAAACAGCGTTACGCAACCGATGAAAAGATATTGCCGCTCGACTGATTCGGAGTAAGACCTCTGCTGTTAAACTGGAGCCGGTCATAAGCACACTGCCCAGGTATGGGAAACTCTCCACTCTCTCCACAACTGCCCCATCACCGATTGGGAGCTGTGGGGGTGGAGTGTCCGATGGTACAAAATACCCAGGCAGGTGCTTAGTTTTGGTGGGGCTGATGGTAAGGCCCCATCTCTTAGTGGCACGCTCCAGTCTCAGCAGCAGCGTCTCCAACTCCTGCTCTGAATGAGCAGCTATTACCCAATCATCGGCATACATAATGTGGTTGAGCAATAGGGAGCCATCCCTTGACCGCACCCGGGCATCGATCAGCCTCCCATTATATCTGTACCATATGGAGATTCCCCCGGGACAGCTATTGAAGGCTTCACAAACTACGTGGTCAAAATAGATGCTAAATAATGTGGGAGCCAGAGGACATCCCTGTCGCACCCCAAGGTGTACAGGGAATGGCTCTGACTCCCGGCCACGTAGTTTTACCCGGGCCCGCTCACCATCATGAAGGTCCTTAATGATCGTGAGCAGAGGGTCAGGGACTCCAAAAGCACGAAGAACAACCCAGAGCCCAGGCCTACTGATGGTATCATAGGCCTTGACCAGGTCAATAAAGCAGAGATGTAGGTCTTGCTGGAATTCCCTACACCTCTGCTGTAGTAGGTGGACAGAAAATATGGCATCTGTGCAGGACCGCCCTTTCCTGAAACCGCATTGGGGCTCTGCAAGCCTCTCCTCAGCGTGCCTGGCAAGGCGATGTTGAATAATCCTTGCCAGGACCTTTCCCGGCACACTGAGGAGTGAGATGCCCCTGTAGTTGTTACAGTCTGTGCGGTCCCCCTTCTTAAAGAGGGGGACCACTAGGGAATCCTTCCAATCCTGTGGAACCCGTCCAGTGATTCAGACTGTTGTTATGATGTCATATAGGGCAGTCTGTTCACAAAGACCATCCTCCCTCAGCATTTCGCTTGGGAGATCATCTCTGCCCGCTGCCTTTCCTGGTCTCGCCTTCAGTACTTCCTCAACAGATGGCACCTCAGCCAGCCACTCACAGGGGGTGATTTCTTCCAATATTTGAGGCACCGCAGCCTCAGCAGGGTCATCCTCACTTTGTGCCACGATGTTTTCCTGGCTGAGGGATTTTCCCTCCTCCAGGACCTCACAGAAATGCTCAGCAAATCTGCAAACCTGTTCCTGGGGGTCGGAGATTGGATCACCGTTTTTTCCCCTAATGATGGTAATAGGTGTGGCGCTGCAGGTTACTTTTTTGATGGAGTTAAATAGAGATTTGTGATCGCGGGCCACTGAGGCAGACTCCATCTCCTCAGCAACCCGCGACCACCACCCATCCTTGCAGCGCCTCACGGCTCTCCGAACCTTCGAGCGAAGGCTGAGGTAAGCCTCCTCATTCTCTGACGTGGGATTCTGTAGCTGATGACAGTGGGCCTGTCGCTTTTTCTCAATTATCCTGAACACCTCCTCTGTCAGCCAGGGTCTCTGGGGAGGTCTGGACCGCGTACCCAAAGCAGCCAATGCAGCTGCATGAGTGACAGTCCTAAACCTCGCCCATTTACCCTCGACATCAGGAGGAGTGGAGGACGATGCCAACACACACACACACAGGCACACACACACACACAGGCACACACACGCACAGACATGCACACAGGCACAGACAGGCACACAGGCACAGACAGGCACAGACACACACACTGGCACACACACACAGACGCACACACACACACACACAGGCACACACACAGATGCACGCACACACACACAGGCACACACACAGACACACACACAGGCACACACACACAGGCACACACAAACACACAGGCACACACACGCACAGACATACACAAACACACAGGCACACACACACACAGGCACTCACGTTTGCTGTCACTGTGACATGAAGACTCTCTTGACGTCTCTTCCGAATGCTCTGTAAAAACAGTTCACGATGACCGTGTGGGGTTCACGATGACCGTGTGGGTGGGTGGGTGGGGTTCACGATGGCCGTGTGGGTGGGTGGCGTTCACGGTGGCCGTGTGGGT